GAAGGGAATTTAGTTTCAACATTTTCTAAATAAAGATAAATATTTAATTTGGAACTTAGAAATAATTTAGTTTCAACAATATTTATGGGAGAAACAAAATACTTTTTGTTTCATCTTCCCATTTGAACCCCTACAGCTTCTTTTCTGTTCACATCCAAGTGGCCTTTCAAAACATTTCACATTCAAGTGACCTTTCAAATCTCTACCAACTATCAAATCTTTTTTACTATTCATGTAAGTATCCTTCCTCACTAAGTTCCTAACTGCTCTTGCTAGGTCAGTTCTTTGTAGATAGTTATCTTTTTTTCTTTTGAGTTGCAGATAGCTATCTGTCTTAGTATTATCTTCCTCATTTTGTCTCCCTCTTGGCTCTTGCTGTGACTCTTCTGCATCAGCACTTCCTTCCCTATTAGGTTTTTCAACATCAGTATTCAATGCCATGTCATCATCTTCTTCCTCTCCTTCTGATATATAGCAGGGGCTGTACAGTGGTTCTATATCGACATTATTAAGTCAAAGCAATTTTATTTAGAAAATATCATGATAGCCTCTCTCAACCTCAAAGCATATTCAACATGAATTTGAAAAATAAAATAACTTCCTCTCACCTAAACCCTAAACCTAATTCAAGTAAAGTCTATTGAGTTATGTAGATTTCAAATTCAATATTTGAAAATCTCTAGAATTGTCTACAATGTGTTATAAATGTGAAATTTCTGAATTGAATATATTTATCCAGATTATTAACAATTTTAACATTATATTTTGTCGAGCTGAATTCGATTGAAATTAATTTTAAATCATTCTAACAAATGAACATTTCATGAAACAAACAATATTATAGAGAGAAAATAAAAAAAAAAAGGAGGAATAATAGTTTCATTCTCTGAATTAAACATGTCATTCATATTTGGATTTCTGGATTTGAAATAAATTATGTGATAAAACTTTGGTTGAAATTGTTAACTTGATTGATATAAATGAAGTTGAGATTTAAAATTTTTAATAAAAGCTTTTAAGGTATTGAATTAAGATCAAGGAACCAAATCAATATTATAATCTTGTAATCTTTCTCTTTACTTCTCTCATTATTTGATAATATTTGAATTATTTCGAATAATTTCCAGTTTTACAACTCTTTTTTTTTTTGGCAATGTTACCTTTGAATTATGGTATTATTAATAATCATTATCAATGGTGACGGTGTAGTTTTGATTACTTTTAAGTAGAAAAACTTAAGTAGATGAGGTGTATGTCAATGGAAAGAGACACTCTTTTAATTAAAGTTTTTTTATTTTGTTTCAATTTTTCAACTAAATTTTTTTTTGTTACTTCCACTTTTTTGATCTCATGTAGCAATATAAAACTAATATAACGGAAAAGCAATTTCTTTCCTTCTTTTTCTGTATCTAATATAGAAAATAATATTTTATTTTTATAATTAACTCTATCCATTTGAAAAAAGAAAAAAAAGACACACAAAAAGAATGAAATGACAAAGAAAAAGGTTTTCACTAAAATTATAATAACAAATAATAAATAAAAGAGAGAGAGGCATGATTAGAAATACATGAGACCCTTGAGTTCAATCCCTTCGAATCCCCATTGGTTAAGGAAGCTCGATATGATTCTTGTCCTTTTAGACCATTTAAATTATAAGTCCATTTTCACCTATCATGAATTCTCACTCACCGGAACCCCACCCCTTTATGATGATGTGGCCAAAACGAAAAACCCCGTTAACATTTATTTTTATATAAAGTAATAAATTGTCATTTTGGTCAAATTGTTTCAACTTTTACTCCATTTTATCTTCAAATGATCATTAATTAAAATTTTAAAAATATCACATTAAAAACTTTGAATAAAGTAGTTTTCAAATGTTAATTATTAAGATTTAATTTGATAAATTATTTAAAATAATTTAGATCACAATTGAAAAAATGACTGAAAAAAGTCAAAATAGGACAATATCAACTTGTTTGGCTTAACTTTTTTTTTTTAACGAAATTGTTATTATTAAACTCTCATGAAAAATAATAACTTATAAAATTAAGTTAAAACTGTTTGGTAAGCTGTTTGATAAAATAAATTATATAAGTCATAATTTTGATTAAAATTACCATAAAGCAAAATAAAATAAATTATAAAAGGTATTCATGCATTTTCAGGTACCTAATAAATCAAAGTAGAAGAAGTCTGTTTCAAGTTTATATAGGATTTTAGAAGTTAAAATCAAAGAAATCAATTAAGAAACAAAACAAGTCTCAAACTTGTATAGTAGTATTAGATTTTTGTTGATCTAGTAAACAATCGGACCATGATACTTCAATTTCCCAAGAAAGAAAAGAGGAAACGATGTATTTGACATTAAAATCCTTTTTGGTGAAGAAGAGAGAAATCTTTAAATAGCATCTGAATGTATTTTCGAATTTTGTTTTTTTTTCTTTTAATCTTTATAAAAACAAAAAAATCTTAGATTTTATTATTCTGTTGTTAAGTTTTCTATTTTTTTTTTCTAATAGTCTTTATAGAAAAAGGTAGAGCAAAAAGAGATCGTGATTTGCATTGGAGAATAGTGATTTGTAGAGGGAAGGAAAGGAGAGGGAGATTGATTGAGAGAGTGATATTTCTTAAAAAACTGGTGTGTTTTTAAAAAAAGAGGAAAGGAAGCACCTTTCTAAAACTTTCTTTAAGCTCTGTTTTTTTAACCTTTGTTCGTTAAAAAAAGTGATTTTTTTTTAAGGGTTTTTCAAAAAATCTTATTTGGTTTGATTTTTATTTTTAAGAGGTAGATATATTGCCAACTCGACACTATATATAAAGAGGAGGGAATAGGTTTTACACTTATTGTGCCTACTTCACCTTTCGACCATTTAATATGCTTTATGACAGCTTCATGATCTTGAGAAAAGCCTCAAAACTTTTTGACAGTTTCAAACTTTGATAAAAGTTCAGTTGGTTACCACAACTCTGTAGAATAAAACAGAGATGGATGATTAGGGAGATGAAAAAGGTTGTGGGATCTTCAGCTTTCATACCAACTGATGTAGGACAGAATTTGAAAGTCTGTCTGCTAAGTTTATATATGTTGTTCTTGTGCTGCGAACAGTAACCCAAGGTACTATATCAACAAAGGGTGGGAAATTCAATCACTTAGATCACAAACTCTTCAAGAACTCTCCATAGCTCAAATGTTTATTAAAAATTAACCCTCGTAAGACTAGCAATACATCAGGCCAAGGAAAAAAGACTAGCAATAAAAAGAGATATAAACACACAAACACTACTTTGCCCTACTTGAGTTAAGGTTCCTAAAACCATTAGGCTTGGGAATAAAATTCAACGAAACCCAAAATAAGACCCGCTGGACCTTTGACCATGGCCCATTCCTATAAAACAGAAAATTTCCAAAATCGCCGTTGACTACAAGTTAATCAAACTGATATATGATAATATTAATGAACTACAATCTACCAGGGACACTTCCCTTGGGACGTATGGGCATCTCTGTTGATGAATAATTAGCTTTTGGCTTTTAAAGGACATGAAGTTTATCTAACCAAGCCATTGATGTGCTATCAGTAAAGCTCTAATGTATAGAGTTTGTGACAAAAAAAAAAACATATTTGTGTCTCATCTGAAAGCTCTCAACTTGTTAATGATAATAGTAAGAATTTTGTTGTTCTTGAAGAATTTCTTGTTGATTGTTGGGAAATTGATCTTAAAGTTTTGAAAAATGATCAATGAATTTGAAGAAATTCAAATTGAACTTAGGGTCCTTGTAGCTGCATCTGGATTTGCTATTATTATGGATAAGTTAGGTAGCAAGATAATTAAAGGACATGCTGAAAGTCGCTATGTTTCTATCAATTATGTGTCAGTTACTTATACTGATTTGGTTATCTTTGCACCAAAATTTTGCCCATTAATTTGGGATTGACTTTAAATTTCCAGCTAAGCGGAGACATGTAAGATGCATGATGAGCACTTATGCCTTTGTTTATTAAAGCTACGTTTATTTAATATGACAACATTGATACAACATCAATAGACCTTTTCTTTGTTCATCTCTGCTTCCCAAGTACTTGATTCATCAACTTACTTGAATTTTGATAAAAATAATAGGTTTTGCACTTGATTACTAAAAATGGTTATCGGTTAAACCTACTGAACTAATTAAAAGATTGGCATTGTGATTATTTATCATATGCTTCTTAATGTTTCCCATGGATGACAAATGAATATGCTGTAAGCTTTGTTATCTTTTGGTACATATTTATGGTTGCTCATGGTCTTGCATTTCTGCACATGCATATGTGTGTCATTGCCCAAGTATAGGTATTCAATTTCATGCATGCATGTTGTTTTTGTGTCATCCATTTCTGCATGCATGTCAAAGTCGTTGTTTCTATCTACAAATAAAAAGGCAGTTTGCTATTGCCAATCTCTTGCTGTAACTCCATGCTTGCTACTGTTTGCATGTTAGTGCCAGATGTGCTTGGATCTGCTAGAAGCTCTTAAGAAGAACCTTAGATTGCATGTTAGATTTACTATCACATACATGATGTTTTATCTACTTTTTCTACTTAATGGCATGGAGAATGATTTGATTATGCAAAGTTTAGAATGTGAAGGGATGGTTTTAAGTTTAGAATTTGGAGGGTTATAAACGCATTGTAACATTTTTTATCTTTGCTGAATTTAGTTTGCAGCAAACTGGACCATGGTTTTAAGCATGCATTGTTATGTGTAGCTCATTTCAGCACTAGTATAGCTAGTTTTTCATTTAATTATTGGTTGCTAAAACTGTTCCTTTTAATGTCTTATATGGTTGGTTCTCTATGCTTTAGTATCCTGTTCATTGTTCAAATCTTATAAGCACACCTGTTCTTACATGTGAATCTGAATTTATTCAATGCATAAATTTAAATTTGATGCAGGTTTGATAACAATAGATAAGAGCTTTTTATGGAATAATATACATGCCCTTTCATTTGAGAAGCTCCATTTTGAAGAAAACAATTTCTGCAAGTATAATGATCAAAGAGTTCGGCTTCTAATATCGTCATCATACCTCATCGCATTGATATGTGGGCTGATCTCTATGGCATTGAACTCCAAATGGGGAAGGAGGTCTCTCTTGCAAATAGGATCATTCTCCTTACTTGCTGGAGTCGTACTTAATGCTGCATCAAATAATATTTTCATGCTAATTGGAGGAAGAGTTGTACTTGGCCTTGGCTTTGGCTTCTGTAGTCAAGTAAAGTATATGACAATTTTATTGTAAAAATTTTAGTTTCTATCTTTATATACAAGATTTTGCTTAGGTATGTGAAACTAATGAATTTTTTACTTTATTTTGTAGGTCATTCCTTTATACATACTAGAGTTTCCTGACTCAGTAAGTCAAGATAGTATGTTTATTTTTCATTCCTTCGCTAATTTTTTAGGAACATTAGTAGTCAATATCTTAGGACTACTATTAAAGAGCCATCTTGGGTGGGCTGTTTTGATGGGAGGGTTGAGTGTTCCAGCTTTAGTTTTATTCATCTTCTCATTTTGCATCGATGAGACCCCTGTTAGTTTAATTTTACATGGAAATTTGAAAAAAGGAAAAGAAGTACTTAGGAAAATTAGGGGTATAGGAAATGTTGATAGTGAATTTAATAAAATCTTGGTAGATTTTGGTCCAGCAAAGAGTCTAAAGAGTCAGTACAAATACATGGTAAAACGGTCCTCTCGTCCACCTTTGACAATTGCACTGTTACATCTAGTATTCCAACAATTAGGGGGGCCGACAGTGATTCTATTTTTTGGACCAGTTTTTTTTGCATCTGTTGGCTTTAATGGCGTGTTGTCTAAGATTTCTGCTCAAATTGTATTGGTGTCAAGTGCTGTTGGCACCTTACTTTCTCCCTATCTGATTTCAAGATTTGGAAGGAGAAATATGCTTCTTGGAGGTTGCACTCTCATGTTCATCACTGAGGTACTTTACATTGGCTTAGTTTGGCTGTTATCCAGAATAAATGCATATGATAAGAATTGACAGTTATGTTATTATTTTGATTGCAGCTATTGATTGGAGTTATGTTGCACTCCTCGGAGCCTTCTGGTTTTCTCAAAAAGAAGGCAGCAGTAGGACTTATTGTCTTGGCAATCATTTATAGTATAAATTTTGCTTTGACATCAGGTCCATTGGATTGGTCAAGTACTACTTTTTCTCCCGAATCTCAAGTTATGGGTAGCTTCTTATCTACAGGATTTAGTATGATGTTAAGTTTTGTAATCTCGCAAGGATATTTATTTGCGATATGTTGGTCCCATTTTTGGATTTTTATAGTCATTGCCATTTTTATTTCACTGTTCTGGATAGTAATATACTCTTTAATTCCAGAAACGGCTAACATTCCACCTGATGAGTTAGTGCATAAGGTGTGGAATAAGCATTGGTTTTGGAAGAGGTTTATGGTTGAACATGTTATGGAATAGACTGGTAGTTATTTTTCAATTTAAATAGTTGTTATTGTAATTCTTAGATGTAGCTGGATGTTTGGAAATTAAATGGAATCAAGACTTTCTCAGTTTGCTCTCGCCTACTGCTTTTCTTCCTTCTTTCTCTTTCCTCTCTTCTCCCTCCTTATGCTTTGTTCTTGCCTTGTACTAATGCATTAATCCCTGAACATTTAGATATTCTCTCCTTATGCTTAGCAGGTGTTGACTTTCCAATTTGTTATTTGCTTATAAAGCAACAAATCATCTAAAAAAAATTATTCGGTTCTATTAACTGCACTTCCAATGTCCAAGCTTCCATTCGAGTTGGCTGAAAAGAGAGATGCTTGGTGATGAATCCTGTGTATCTTGATGGGAGTTTGAGGCTGTGAAGGGTTTTGAGTTTTGAAGGTTTAGGGAAGAATGAAAGTGAAAGGAATAATGGCTGGGAAGTCTTTGGCCTTGTAGGTTGGCCATTTCAAAGCTACTGATGGCTAGTGATGCACAGAGATTCAAAGCATTCCAGAGTTGCAGAAAAGAAGGTAAACTGAGTTTCTTTAAAGTTGCTTTAATTTTAATGGTTTATTCCTCAATTCATGCACACTTTAATTTGCAAATGCAATTTCTTTTACGCAGCCTAAAAGTTTGGGATACACCATTCTGATCTATTTGACCTAGGACGGAACAACCTAACAAGCAAAGTATTCAGCAGGAAAATTTTCAGGTAACCATTACTAAAGCTGCATCTTAGAGTGAGTGAGTTATTTCTGCATTATTGTTTTGTTCTGGCTCTTCAGATAGCAACTCTATAGAATTGAATATAATGGGAATAAATTACAAAAAGAACACAAACAACAAATACACTTTTTCTAAATTCATAAAACAAATATTGCTTTGCTTAGATCTCGGGGTTCTGTCTGTCTCCCTCTCTTTCCAGGGCCAGTCAGAGCCTATTCTGTCTTCCTTCTCTTTGTCTCTTTTTGTTTCTCAACATGCAGTCAACCTTCTTCATAGCCAACCTTGTGAACAGTGGAACCTATAGTGACAAGGCAGTCTCTCTTTTCCTATTTTGCTTTTTTGGTTCTCTTTTGCTTTATTCTTTCCCCATTTCATTCAAAAGTATATCCAATTTTAGATTTGAGATTAAAATCTCAGATCTTTCTGCCATTATGAAAAGAACCTGCAATGATGACTATATCTCTGAAGTCTCCCCTTTCCCCTATTTGTCTTTTCCTCTTATTTGAGATTCAGAACACCCCCAGCTTTCACGCAGACAAATTTGCTGTAGATTTCAAAAGGAATCGAAAATGCTTCAATGTAGCAAAGGTATGAGAAAGTTGATATTTTTCTTTTTCTTGTGAATTTTGTTGTTTACATTATTAGTTTTATTACTATTTTGGCATGTCCTTCATTGTGACTCTGACAGAAAATGTAGGTTCTCTGATAACATATTAAACAACAGATTGACCAGTTTTTATTCAATGTTTGTCTCTATAAACTAGGTGAAACTGCATGTATCAAGGTATGCTTTCTGCCTATTTTGTTTTCCTTTTTCCCCACTGCTGTCTCTATCCTACGTGTATGTGAATAAATGCTTATATTGACAAGGGTTTGCAAAGTTGGTACTTATCATTTTTTTCCTTTTGGGTGTTATATTTGTGAATGTTTGTCTGTGAGGCTTAGCATGCATATGTGGTACAAGAGGACAGGATTACTTGGAATAAAGAAAGGATAAAAAAGAAAATGGGGAACAGACACTGCAAGAAATACGGGAAATAGGGGGCATATTTATACCAGTGTTACTGGCATTTTATTAAACAAAAGAAATATTCATCAGTTGGCAGCATTTAGCATGGTAAACATTTTTGTGTTAAGGAATTTTGTACCATTTCAGTTCAAAGTCCCCGTGTCCTTCACACTGAATTTTTAGTGCTGTACTTGCATCACAACAAGAGTAAAAAGGAGTTATGACTGTTTTAATGCTAGAAACTTCTTTGGTTTGTGTGCTGGCAAATCAGGAATTCTATACTATTGTCACTCTGCACTGTCACACTCTCTCTCGCTACCCTTTCACTCTTTGGCTTTGCTGGTACTTTTGAGCTTTTGAGCTTCGTTTTCAAGTTTTTTGTTTCAATTGGGTTAAGCATTTAATATTTTATGTTTGATCTTCCATTTCTCTTCTTTGTTGAGGCAAAAGAGGTTAGGGCTTTGAAAGCCTTTGCATCAAATTTTTTACTGGTATTGTTGGATCTTTTCTTTTGTTCATAAATCAAAGGCAAACTTGGAGAATCATAAGCATTTGTAGAAACTCCAGTTTTCTGACAATGATGCTTTTTTAAGAAATCCTCAGTCTCATCTTTTGTCCTAGTAATATATTTTTTGTTTGCTTTTCTACTTGACTAGTAGCAATTTCCTTCTCTGTAGTGTTTTCTTTGTGAATTTTGAAATATAGACCAACTGAGAGCATTGGATCATTGGAATTTTTTTCTTTTCTTTGTTCTGGATAAACTGAAACCATTTGCAGTTTGAGCTGATTGGCATATAGTTATCATTTAAATTGTGTGTAGAAATCAAATCAATTGTCTGTTCAGTAAAGGTTTTATGCTCATCATGAAATTTTCTTCAGTGAGACGATAATCTAGAAAGTAATTTCACATTGTGGCACCACTTGCTTCTAATCTAACTATCTTGTTTTACTATTTTGTGTTTTTGAAAATGACTTTCAGCAAGGTGGTACTTAAATTCTGTGTTAGACATGCACACTCACATATATAGAGGGAGAGGTAGACTTGTTTGTCATGTGATAGTTGAGTCACTATAGCTGAAAATAGATTGAAAAATGTTAAGAAGATTCCAATCAATACTAGAGAGTAAGAGGATCGGTTGAGACTGCAATAAAGGCAAAAGAGATTGTACTCCTTCCTTATAGGACTTGTCTTTCATCTATTCCTCTTCTCTACAGAAGTAGCTGTGTTAGAATCTGGCTTGAAAATGGTGGGGGATTTTTAATATGATACAATAAGCTTTGTTGCTTCCAAAACTAATTTGTCAATAACACGTCTTTATAGTGGCAGCCTGATCATATGATAGTGTTTCTTCAAAACAACGGGTTGTGTGCAAAATAAGGTCAAATCCTCTGATACAGTTGAAATGAAAGCAGGGTAGCTAGCTATACATTCTTGCAACTTACATTCGTTTTGATATAACATTACATCAGATTAAAGTGGTTGGGTCATATCCAACGAGACGTCCTTCTATGTATTAAAATCTGACGTTAAACTGGGAGCTGATAAAGTTAAACAAAAATATGATTCGACCGCCGTATGCACCATAGCACACCTTATTCATTTATTTCTAAACTTACTGTGAAACTGCTTGCTTTTAGCCATATTTATGATGAGGAGAGAGAGAGCAACAGAACCAAGTTAATATGCATTGTTAGAATGGTGTTAGACTTGGCCATGTCTTTTCTATTATTTCTTACTATGAACGCACTTTTCTGTTGTTTGGCTGCAGAAGTAGTGGCTTCTAAGAAAGCACCTAGTTATGGAAGCAAAAGGCTGGTGGAAGATCCCAAAAAAAACAAGTTGTATCCACTGAGATGTTGTTTACTAATTTACTCATTTGTTTCCCAAAAGGTGGTCGTGCTCTATACAATGAACATGTTGAAGCGAAGGGATTTTCCTCCCTGTAAGCCCCAACCGTATAACCCCTTTTCTTTTGAAAAAAAATGCTGTAACTTAAATCCACAATATAATAGTTTATTGAGAGTACAAATTTTCCATTAAAAATATTTAAAATGTTATTGATTTATATTCATGCCTAATGCCTTGAACTTCTTGTGGCAACATGAGACAGAAGCCACCCCATTGCATTGCAATGTTTGAATAATAACTCACAGGAAGGATGGGTGCCTCATGAATGCAAAACAAGAAGGAATGGCAGGAATTGCATAAGCTACAAACTGCAATTATTTTATGTTGTGCATGTTTTGATTGCAATCATTGCCTGTTGATTTGTCATAGGGGAAGGCAAAAAGATTAAATGGTTGAGCACTCTCAGTCATCTTAAAGAAACATGGCTTATATGGTAGATAAGATATTCACACAAGTAATGGCCAAGGAACAAGAAGTGGAGCGATGGCTGACCCTGGCCAACTAGTTTCAAGGCTGTTCTTTTGGAACTTGTGTAGTATACAGCAAGAGCCAAAACTTGCCCAAATAGTAGAGACTGATAGATCTTACATGGAACAAGGAAATAACATCTGTCCAAGCTTCTAAGCTTGGTGAAGTAAAATTGGTTAAAGTCTCTAAATAATCTACTATCCATGTGTTTTCATTAATTTAATTTTTATACTCAAAATCTAATCAATTTATTTTCTCAATTTTAGAAATTGGAATAATTTAATCTTTTTTCTTACGTTGTTAATATTTATTGTTCGAAATGATCAGTATTGACGTGGCAATACCATATCACTTCAACATATTAATGCAGTAGTGCCATGTGGCACTGACATAATTACATGATAATATCAACGTGATAATAATAAAATGATGTGGTAATACTGACGTGACAAATTAAGAAAAAAATATTTTTTTACAAAAATCTAAGTCATGATATAAGAATTAAATTGAATAAAAATATACAGTATATGAATTAAATTTAACAAAATTGAAAACTTTAAGGATTAAATTGAATTAAAAATTTTAAAAAATATAAATTCTTGATTAGATGGTACATGTATTTATTAATAAGTTAAATTTTTAAATATAAAAAATTTACGGTGTCAAGAAATAAAAATAAATTTTTTTATTTGATTATTTTATTCCATGATAAATAAATTAATTTATCTACTTTATAAAAATTAAGTTTGAATTCCTCTCTTATAAAGAAAATTTCAATTTGTTATAAAATTATATTTTATAAATATCATCATGAAAATCATTATCACTTACAATTTTCCTTTTTTTATTAAACTTGATTATTTTTAATGAGATAATTTCATAATCCATTCATAGAAAGAAACAAAAAGATTTAATTTCCTTTTTTAATATATGCATAGAATCAAAATAAACCCATTAAATGCTTTCATGACAGAATAATTGGTCAAGAAATCACCTAATTTAATATATAATATTATATATTAAAAATCAATTGACTCAATAAATCAATTGGATCAAATTGTTTTATTCAAATCGCATTTGAATAAAACAATTCAATTCAAAACGTTTGATCCATTGGTTTAATTGATCGGTCCTTAATTCTAAAATTCTTAAATCAAACTTACCAAAAAAACAAATTAATTACATATATATATTTAATATTTTTAATTTTTAATTACTATTTACTAAGTTACATTCCCCACTTTCACTTCTTCATTTTTTTTTAATATATAATACTCTTTCTTTTTTTTTTTTTTCACCTAGTCACCTTTACACCTTACTCTTTCTTTTCTTCAAAACGTAAACCTATATTCTAAACTCCCTAAGCAAGCTACAAGCACCAGTCAACCGAATCAATTCAATTATTTGTATACAGTAAAATCTCTATAAATTAATACACTTATGACTATAAAAATTTATTAATTAATCTAAATATTATTTAATCAATAAATTAATAAATTATTAATTTATACATTAATTAATAAAAATTAATTTATCAAGGTTTTATTTATTTATTTTTTTAAAATATGGAATTAATACATATATTGTGTATTGTGATTATATAATTATTATCTAATTACCAATTACGAATTATCATTATTTAATATATTTGTTTAACGAAAAAAAGTTTATGAATGTAATTAGTCTTATTAAATACAAGTCATAAATCTATCTATTTTTACAATAAATGAAAATTACATTCTATGTATACTTAATTAATATACTCATGAATATATAGTATCACCAACATATAACTAAATACAATAACTTTTTATTTCAAAGATGTAAAAAAATCAACAATGATAGATGAAATACGTAAAACATTATGTAAATACAATAAGAAAATCTAAATTATATTCAAAAGCAATTTTAACGATAAGTGTCAGAAAAGTTTAACTTGCAAATTAACCAAGCAATAATATCAGATACGATCAAAAGGTCATCAGAGCATTTATCAGCTAATATCAATTTTCTCTTGCAATACAAAAACATTATACCAGAGCTTTTTAATGTAATGAGAAAAGTTAGAGATAAGGTTTAAGAATACATCAATTTCAAAAAGAAACATGAATTACTAGATTCATGTATGACTAAGTTCATGATTATATTAGGTCATGAATTCAATTTAATTCCCAATATTCATGAATTCAAGTTTAATTTCCAACATCCTTATCGTTCATAAAAAAGGAAGAAACAAACCAACATGGAAATGTTGCACTTGCCCAAATAGTAGATATTGACAGATCTTGTAAGGAACAAGGAAATGATGAACTTTTAAGGAAAAACAAGGAGAAAAAAAAAAAAGAAACGGTTTATTGAGAAGTAAAATCAAATTTTGGATTTCTTCTCTGCATTTAAGGCTGTTAATGAACTTTTGCTGGCAATGACAGCAATGAGCCAGCCCCAATACC